TAGTTCACTCTTTCTATCATAACCAGTTTCTGTTACTGCCTGAACTAAACCAGTGCTTGTGACTACCATTTTTCTTAAATTTCTCTAGTGATACAATGACCAGTGTTACAATGAAAAGACCAGAAGCGTCCAAAGTAAAATGGACTTTCTGTCATTTGAAACTTTAAAATTGAAATGTCGTTATTACCAGCTTTCTTCCAATAATGCCTCCATGAATATTTAGAAAATTTTCACAGTAATACTGACATCACTGCTTTCGTCTTTGTTTGTGTGTGGGCCATCCAAGATTAATGTTGTGTGTGAACTTTCGAGTAAAAAGTGTAAAAATATAGAGATAAATTGTATGTATTATTGATTGATATTGTATTGAATATATATTACACAGAGAAGGCACTCTCTTTTATAGAGAGAAATGGATGCCTCGGATGCCTTTGAGGATGCCCACCGAGCATGCTACAATTATATACAATTATATATTACTAACAATGCTATGATGATGTCCACCGAAAGTTGCACTATATTTAGGTATTATATTATATTACTAACAAAAAGAAAAGAAATTATGTGAACTAAATGCGTTTTCGTGTTACTTTTGAGTTCAAATAGACACAAATCATCTCTCTTTTTTTTTTTTCTTTTTTTTAAAGGGCCATATATCTTCGTAACTGGAAAGAAGGTATATGGGTCAGAGCAACTGTCTTTCCAACCTCTCACATTTAATTCACTGAGAAAACTTTGTTTCGGAAAATGTTTTCTGCCTTCTAAAAGTGGAAAACATTTTTCACCCAAATAGACTTATTTTTCATTGACTATAGAAAATGTTTTCCGTTCACTTTTGTTTTCCATTGTATCAAATGGTAGAAACTGCTGAAAATATTTTGCGGAAAATGTTTTCCGCCCAAACAAGGAGCGTAAATTTTAAAATTTGATGCAAATTCAGTTTGATCTCCAGAAACTTTCCTGACAAATACAAACTTATTATACATAAGAGTATTGATTTTCAAATTGTTCACAAGATACAGGAGAAACCAATCATCACCACAAAATTTCACAAGTGACCTGAAGATCTCACAACTTGAAATGTGGAAGTGAAGGAACTCCATCAAGCCCTTTGGCATAGTAGTGTTTGAGGTAGTCTTTCAAAGTGGTTTCTCTGTATATTGGAGGGTTTTCCTCTGATAACAACTCTTTGATGGGTCCATAAAGTCTTGAAGTAATCTTTGTATCACCATTTGTTCTGAAAAAACATGCCACTGAAACTCTTGGCCCAACATGCTTTGCCAATACTCTGTGTTCAACACTTTTAAACTTATCGTTTGAGATGAGCTGCTCAAATACAGACATTGAAACAAATAAGACAGGTTGTCAGTTCCAAACCAAAATCCGTTGTTCAGAGACAATAATATGATTTTTGGCGTGGTTGGTTTTTTGTTGGGAGAATTGACCAAATGGAATAGATTAACCATTTCCTATGAAGTTGAAGCATAATTCTTATTCTATCTCGTTCTAAAGATTGGAATCATGAGGATCTGGAATCATATTTTCATTATTTAAATATTGCCTTCATTATCAGTGCAATGAGACCATTGAAATATATAATCAAGTTTAAAAGGAATGGATACGTGCCTGAAGAAGATCTCCAATGTTGACCATAAGAGCACCAGGGGTGGAGGTCACATCAACCCACTGATTCTGATGAAGAACTTGGAGGCCACCTATTTGGTTCTGTAGAAGGATGGTCATGAAGGTAGAATCAGTGTGGCTGCTAGATCCCAAAGTCAAATCTGGTTCGGGGCAGGCAGGGTAGTAATGGCCCAGGTGGAGAATCCCCTCAACACAACCCATCTCTTTTAAATGGTTTGGGTTTAACCCAAGAGCCTCGGATAATAATTCAGAAATAGTACATCCCAATCTCATTGCTTGCCTTGTGTACTCAAACATTATGTCTCTGCAGGTTGATGGGAAATCATCATATAGCATAGTCACAAGTTTCTTAGCTGGGAGATGGTGAGGCAAATTGTGAATAAAATGGTCTCATGTTCGACTCTCATAGGACACAAACATTCAAGTTTAACCGATACACGTAATTTGTGAGTGATTGTGCATATCCAAAATTTATTCATTAAGGCCTAGTAATGAATGAGAAGGCGAGGTTGTCAGTCATATTAAATAATTAAAAAATAAAATAGTTTCAGGTCCACAAATATGGCATTGTTAATAGCTTTTAATAACTGATATAATTTTCTTGGAAGTTGCTGCTTGCAAGGTTGTACTGGCCTCCCTAACCATTTTGCTTTCTTACCTAATTTTTGTCCAAAATTTTAGAACAATGATAATAGATCAACATTAAATTCCACAAGTTAAATTCATTTTGAAAGTTGTGACCTTAGATTAATTTCACATCACATACCTGCAAACAGCAGGCAATTCCTCAGGATCAGGTGGATGAGGAGCCATAAAACAAGACATGGAATCCCTCCAATTAGCCATTGGCGCTTCGAACAGATCAAAATTGCTGTAATGCAAAAACCTCCTGACTTTGCCATCACGAAAATAGTACTGTTTCCTCACCTCAATGTCTTGTTCATGAAACCTCCGTACCCCATCGATCATCCCATCCATGACACTAACCGGAATTCCATGATTGATCACTTGAAAGAATCCCCAGTTTGCGCAGGAGTCTAGAATTTTCTCAACAATCTCACGACGCAGACCTGAATCTGTGTCAATACCTTCAAAATCAATCACTGGAATGCTAAACTTGGAATTGCCAGAACCCAACTGATCATCAGAGCGAAGCTGGTTGTGGCCATTGACAAAGATTTTTGGTATATTTGTCACCCCAGCATCAAGAAGGCCCTTAACTCCAGCTTTAGAGTCATCGAAGGCTTTTAGTTCACTCTTTCTATCATAACCAGTTTCTGTTACTGCCTGAACTCCACCATCACCAGTACTTGTGACTACCATTTTTCTTAAATTTCTCTAGTGATAGAATGACCAGTGTTTCAATTAAAAGACCAGAAGAGTCCAAAGTGGAATGGACTTCCTGTCATTTGAAACTTTAAAATCAAGATGTCGTTATTACCAGCTCTCTTCCAATAATTGCTATATCCATATTTAGAATTTTTTTGCAGTAATACTGACATCACTGCATTCGTCTTTGTTTGTGTGGGCCATGCAAGATTAATGTAATGCCGTTGTGAACTTTCGAGGAAAAAAATATTCTCTATACTTGCTGTGAATTAGATGCGCTTTCGTGTTACTTTTGAGTACAGATTTCGCTTGGGAGGTATTTATGAAGGGAAAATGATACAGTCAGTAATATGTCGCAATTAAAATGTCTTTTCAACCTCACTATTAATTCACTGACTAGATCAAGAAGTTATTGGTTGGTTCAGAACAACGTCATATGGCACTCCACATATATTGTGATTGGTGGAGGGAATGAAGTCCACGATTTTGTATTGAATAATTAGAAAACATGAGTAGACATAATGATTTGTGATTGGTGAAGAATATCGTCACATGACATGCCAAGACCAACCAATAATTTTTCACCAATCATTCCAACCTTTTCTGTGGATAATGTTTTAAAAGAAGGTATGAGAGCAGCTGTCCTTACAACCTCACAATTAATTCACTAACAATATCATTCCAAACTTTTTCTATGGATAATGTTTTTTCTGAAATTTTTTTTAAGTACCGCTATTCAAGTCTAAAAATTAAATCTATTTTTTTAGACTCAATGATGTAACACTCTATTAAATATTTAAGTTAATTCCCTCTCATTTATTCTCTAATTACCAACCAATTATCTTACTGAATCTAAAAAATAGATTTAAAAAATGAGTTTGTATATTATTTTCTTTGTTTTTTTTTATGCAAAAGCCATGAACTAATTTACAAGTAGGAAAGCACACTTTGTAGCTTTAATTTATTTTCGTTGCTATTTGCACAACATATGTAACTTGCTGCAATCTTGCTAATTCACATCTCTCACATGTATTTGAAGTAGATTGAGTCTAAACCTCTATGGATACTGTATTTTCAGGTGCTTTGAAAGAACCATACATGTCAAATTTGAAGAATGATGCATATTAGAAGTGCTCACATACCAGATTGATTCGATTTTAAAAAATGAAAATGGAACAGTAACTTAATCAGTACACTTAATTGCAAAAATTTAGAAAAAAAACCATGTTAAATAAAATTGAAAACAAACAACAAAAAATAATTTGCTTTCAGTTATGTTCCATAATTCTAGATTAGTCTCTCAAAACAATCTCACCATTTTTTATGTCTAGCAAAAAAAGGGGAAATAAAAATGAGAGAAAAGATACCTTCACAGCAATAAAATTCAGAAACTTTTACACTGTTTAGTTGGGAAAGATAAAGGAAAAAAATGCGTGAAATTAAATAAATTGTAAATATATTTTATTCACATTTCGCATACATTTTTCCTTTTTCTTTTCATTTTCTTTTCAAATTCTCTCACCAAACATAGCGCTAAGAAAACGTTTGACCAACGAGCCACGTCTTTGATCCAAATCCCACCTCTTTTAATCGGGTAATTATTCATGAGTATGTGGCATGCCACACATTGCATCCACACCCTCCATTGGTGTGGTCCTTGAATCCGTTAATTATTCATCACTTGCATTCACTGAGCCCCGCTCATCTGCTCAGCTGAACAAACAATTGAAAGGGTGCACGTGCAAATGTGAGCGCAAAGAACCCTGAATTTCTTCAGCAAAAACATCAATTGGCAGAACAGGCAGCCCACATCAAACCGTCAAAGCAGGAATTTGTTTTCAATGGCCCAAGACAATCGATCTTGATTGGCCAAATCTGTTTTAATACCAGTCATGGTTGACACCAAATTTGACCCAAACCACAATTATTCTCCCATAGTAGAATGCTTGTATTAAACCACAAACAATCGGGCTAGAGCAAGAAGCAGATCAAACGTTAAACAAAAAGAAACTGGAGTAAAACCTGGATAGAGGACAGAATTTTACCTTTTCTCATGAATTATATATTTCCAAAACTCGATTCAAAATTTCCATAAATCTCAATGAGAACATCACACCATAAATGTTAAAAAGAGAGAATAAACCCAAAAAAGAAGAATACAGATAACAAGAAACTGTCTCCTCAACACTACAAGCATCCAAAATGCGGTCCTTAGTGATTTCCAGACACATTGGCACTGTTAATATGATGTAACATGAGGTGAACACATGATATTCTTTCTCAACCCGTCTTAGTTTTGGGAGCCTTCTTCTTGAGTCTCCTTGGCATTGAGTTTTTCATGCCAATAAAGAAGAGCAATGCCCCCAACAATGACAAGCTCTGCAAAAGAAAACATAAAATTAATCAATTCTGATTCTTTCATTTTCAGCTGATACGTAGATATAATAATAATAATAATAAAGAGTTAATCCACTTTGGTAGAGAATCCCATTGGCTAACCTGTGAAAACTTGACGAAAAGTTGAGCATATTCTTTCTTGTCAACATCATAGTTGTAGAAGTCATACAAAATTGGAGTAGCAATTGCCTGGTGTAAAAGCTGCACAAGAGACAAAAGGGAATAAATAAATTGTTAGTGAGATTCAATGAAACTGATTTGATAGGCCAAAGAAATTAAAACAAGGATGAATTAGTTGAGACTACATACCAGTAGAAAAGCTCCAAGAGAGCTGCCAAAAATGAAAAGAAGGCTTCCAAGACCCTTCATAGCTATGGCTGCAACAACTAGAAATTTGATCTGTGAATAAAACGACTTGATGTTAGTTGTGACATTGTAGAAAAACAGGTATGTTCATTCCAATCATGGAACCTAATAGGGAAAAAAAATTCTCACTTCTATATCTGGCACTTGCAGCCCAGTTTGAACTGACAAATGTTTTGAGAATACATTGAACTTTGGTGTAAGGGACTCCGCAGCTGGCCCACCATCAACGCCAAATTCATTAAACCTACAAGCAGGAACAGTTAACAAATAATTCAACAAAGAGGGGAAACATTAAGAGACAAAGTACACAATTTTCAAGTAACACATCACTGTGCCTCTGTGCCTCAAGAAGAAAAATCCTTTCGATAAGGTTTCTTTTCAGGAAAACGAGAGATTGAAATCTTTCTTTATCACCATGTTAACTTCTAAGGTCCAATGGCCCTATTTCGTAGAGCTTTTTTTAAGTTAAAAGCTGATAATTAGAAAGCAGAATCTAAAAGCACCCCTACCCCAACTTTTAAATAATCAGCTTTTTTCAGCTTATTTAAGTTATTTCTGCCTAATAAGCTCTTAGCAGAAAATGCACCAAACAATCTGGCACAGGCTCCCAAATTAAAATAAGCTATAATCACCCCCCAAAAACTATAACAAACAGTCCCATAGTGTCAAAAATGCATAATAACTAATAGTCTACAATTTTTAAATACAGCACTCTTAAATTTCTGTTTCTTCTTTGCCTTTGCATTAACAAGGTACATCATCTATATTTGTGGGAATAAACCAGAACTTGTAAGCAATTGACGATTTGACATTATTAGGCTTCTCAAAAACTTTTCTACCAATCTTTAGCACATGCCAAGATGGATACCAGCACATGTTACAACTCAAAAAGCCAATCACAAGTTTACGTCAAATAAACTTGTAAAAAGATTGTATATTCCCACAAATATAGATGATGTCAAATTTCTGTTTCTTCTTTGCCTTTGCATTAACAAGGTACATCATCTATATTTGTGGGAATAAACCAGAACTTGTAAGCAATTGACGATTTGACATTATTAGGCTTCTCAAAAACTTTTCTACCAATCTTTAGCACATGCCAAGATGGATACCAGCACATGTTACAACTCAAAAAGCCAATCACAAGTTTACGTCAAATAAACTTGTAAAAAGATTGTATATTCCCACAAATATAGATGATGTCAAATTTCTGTTTCTTCTTTGCCTTTGCATTAACAAGGTACATCATCTATATTTGTGGGAATAAACCAGAACTTGTAAGCAATTGACGATTTGACATTATTAGGCTTCTCAAAAACTTTTCTACCAATCTTTAGCACATGCCAAGATGGATACCAGCACATGTTACAACTCAAAAAGCCAATCACAAGTTTACGTCAAATAAACTTGTAAAAAGATTGTATATTCCCACAAATATAGATGATGTCAAATTTCTGTTTCTTCTTTGCCTTTGCATTAACAAGGTACATCATCTATATTTGTGGGAATAAACCAGAACTTGTAAGCAATTGACGATTTGACATTATTAGGCTTCTCAAAAACTTTTCTACCAATCTTTAGCACATGCCAAGATGGATACCAGCACATGTTACAACTCAAAAAGCCAATCACAAGTTTACGTCAAATAAACTTGTAAAAAGATTGTATATTCCCACAAATATAGATGATGTCAAATTTCTGTTTCTTCTTTGCCTTTGCATTAACAAGGTACATCATCTATATTTGTGGGAATAAACCAGAACTTGTAAGCAATTGACGATTTGACATTATTAGGCTTCTCAAAAACTTTTCTACCAATCTTTAGCACATGCCAAGATGGATACCAGCACATGTTACAACTCAAAAAGCCAATCACAAGTTTACGTCAAATAAACTTGTAAAAAGATTGTATATTCCCACAAATATAGATGATGTCAAATTTCTGTTTCTTCTTTGCCTTTGCATTAACAAGGTACATCATCTATATTTGTGGGAATAAACCAGAACTTGTAAGCAATTGACGATTTGACATTATTAGGCTTCTCAAAAACTTTTCTACCAATCTTTAGCACATGCCAAGATGGATACCAGCACATGTTACAACTCAAAAAGCCAATCACAAGTTTACGTCAAATAAACTTGTAAAAAGATTGTATATTCCCACAAATATAGATGATGTCAAATTTCTGTTTCTTCTTTGCCTTTGCATTAACAAGGTACATCATCTATATTTGTGGGAATAAACCAGAACTTGTAAGCAATTGACGATTTGACATTATTAGGCTTCTCAAAAACTTTTCTACCAATCTTTAGCACATGCCAAGATGGATACCAGCACATGTTACAACTCAAAAAGCCAATCACAAGTTTACGTCAAATAAACTTGTAAAAAGATTGTATATTCCCACAAATATAGATGATGTCAAATTTCTGTTTCTTCTTTGCCTTTGCATTAACAAGGTACATCATCTATATTTGTGGGAATAAACCAGAACTTGTAAGCAATTGACGATTTGACATTATTAGGCTTCTCAAAAACTTTTCTACCAATCTTTAGCACATGCCAAGATGGATACCAGCACATGTTACAACTCAAAAAGCCAATCACAAGTTTACGTCAAATAAACTTGTAAAAAGATTGTATATTCCCACAAATATAGATGATGTCAAATTTCTGTTTCTTCTTTGCCTTTGCATTAACAAGGTACATCATCTATATTTGTGGGAATAAACCAGAACTTGTAAGCAATTGACGATTTGACATTATTAGGCTTCTCAAAAACTTTTCTACCAATCTTTAGCACATGCCAAGATGGATACCAGCACATGTTACAACTCAAAAAGCCAATCACAAGTTTACGTCAAATAAACTTGTAAAAAGATTGTATATTCCCACAAATATAGATGATGTCAAATTTCTGTTTCTTCTTTGCCTTTGCATTAACAAGGTACATCATCTATATTTGTGGGAATAAACCAGAACTTGTAAGCAATTGACGATTTGACATTATTAGGCTTCTCAAAAACTTTTCTACCAATCTTTAGCACATGCCAAGATGGATACCAGCACATGTTACAACTCAAAAAGCCAATCACAAGTTTACGTCAAATAAACTTGTAAAAAGATTGTATATTCCCACAAATATAGATGATGTCAAATTTCTGTTTCTTCTTTGCCTTTGCATTAACAAGGTACATCATCTATATTTGTGGGAATAAACCAGAACTTGTAAGCAATTGACGATTTGACATTATTAGGCTTCTCAAAAACTTTTCTACCAATCTTTAGCACATGCCAAGATGGATACCAGCACATGTTACAACTCAAAAAGCCAATCACAAGTTTACGTCAAATAAACTTGTAAAAAGATTGTATATTCCCACAAATATAGATGATGTCAAATTTCTGTTTCTTCTTTGCCTTTGCATTAACAAGGTACATCATCTATATTTGTGGGAATAAACCAGAACTTGTAAGCAATTGACGATTTGACATTATTAGGCTTCTCAAAAACTTTTCTACCAATCTTTAGCACATGCCAAGATGGATACCAGCACATGTTACAACTCAAAAAGCCAATCACAAGTTTACGTCAAATAAACTTGTAAAAAGATTGTATATTCCCACAAATATAGATGATGTCAAATTTCTGTTTCTTCTTTGCCTTTGCATTAACAAGGTACATCATCTATATTTGTGGGAATAAACCAGAACTTGTAAGCAATTGACGATTTGACATTATTAGGCTTCTCAAAAACTTTTCTACCAATCTTTAGCACATGCCAAGATGGATACCAGCACATGTTACAACTCAAAAAGCCAATCACAAGTTTACGTCAAATAAACTTGTAAAAAGATTGTATATTCCCACAAATATAGATGATGTCAAATTTCTGTTTCTTCTTTGCCTTTGCATTAACAAGGTACATCATCTATATTTGTGGGAATAAACCAGAACTTGTAAGCAATTGACGATTTGACATTATTAGGCTTCTCAAAAACTTTTCTACCAATCTTTAGCACATGCCAAGATGGATACCAGCACATGTTACAACTCAAAAAGCCAATCACAAGTTTACGTCAAATAAACTTGTAAAAAGATTGTATATTCCCACAAATATAGATGATGTCAAATTTCTGTTTCTTCTTTGCCTTTGCATTAACAAGGTACATCATCTATATTTGTGGGAATAAACCAGAACTTGTAAGCAATTGACGATTTGACATTATTAGGCTTCTCAAAAACTTTTCTACCAATCTTTAGCACATGCCAAGATGGATACCAGCACATGTTACAACTCAAAAAGCCAATCACAAGTTTACGTCAAATAAACTTGTAAAAAGATTGTATATTCCCACAAATATAGATGATGTCAAATTTCTGTTTCTTCTTTGCCTTTGCATTAACAAGGTACATCATCTATATTTGTGGGAATAAACCAGAACTTGTAAGCAATTGACGATTTGACATTATTAGGCTTCTCAAAAACTTTTCTACCAATCTTTAGCACATGCCAAGATGGATACCAGCACATGTTACAACTCAAAAAGCCAATCACAAGTTTACGTCAAATAAACTTGTAAAAAGATTGTATATTCCCACAAATATAGATGATGTCAAATTTCTGTTTCTTCTTTGCCTTTGCATTAACAAGGTACATCATCTATATTTGTGGGAATAAACCAGAACTTGTAAGCAATTGACGATTTGACATTATTAGGCTTCTCAAAAACTTTTCTACCAATCTTTAGCACATGCCAAGATGGATACCAGCACATGTTACAACTCAAAAAGCCAATCACAAGTTTACGTCAAATAAACTTGTAAAAAGATTGTATATTCCCACAAATATAGATGATGTCAAATTTCTGTTTCTTCTTTGCCTTTGCATTAACAAGGTACATCATCTATATTTGTGGGAATAAACCAGAACTTGTAAGCAATTGACGATTTGACATTATTAGGCTTCTCAAAAACTTTTCTACCAATCTTTAGCACATGCCAAGATGGATACCAGCACATGTTACAACTCAAAAAGCCAATCACAAGTTTACGTCAAATAAACTTGTAAAAAGATTGTATATTCCCACAAATATAGATGATGTCAAATTTCTGTTTCTTCTTTGCCTTTGCATTAACAAGGTACATCATCTATATTTGTGGGAATAAACCAGAACTTGTAAGCAATTGACGATTTGACATTATTAGGCTTCTCAAAAACTTTTCTACCAATCTTTAGCACATGCCAAGATGGATACCAGCACATGTTACAACTCAAAAAGCCAATC